GAATGAAAGACAAAACTGTCTGTAAGGAAAATGTGCTTGGATTTTTGAAGATAAGAGGGGTCATGTCGGATGTGATAATGTAATTGACGGACAATTTTATGCTAAAACCTCCTGACGCATTTTCTTTACACACGACATTGTCTTTCATTCTGTCCTGAATCAAAACTGAAACCAACAAACGTCAGCGAAACGCACTGTTTACGCCTTTTTACACTTTCACTCATTATCTCCGAATATATGTGTAAATATATGGGGGGGGAGAGAAAGAAAAGAGAGAGGGAGGGGGAGGGAGATGTAATGAATACTGACCAAGATTACTGTTATTTACATTATTCGGACTGTTTGTTGCCTTATTCACGACGTTTCGGCCGTTGTATACTCCGGCCCTCTTCAAGTGATTGGAATTTCAAATTGAACCTTTTATTTCGTCCACCGGGTTAAATTTAGTTCCACGTGTCACCCCTCTTCCAGATGTCTGAGTATCAGTTATCTCCCTTTAATTCAACTCTCCAAGTTTTTTGTTCACTTCAGCTGTAGCCAGGTATTGAACTCACAACTCTTTGGGTGAAGTCACTGGATTCAACCAACGACCTACAAATTAGGAATCCCAAAACAACAATAATTTAACAATTTAGATATCTGGGAATTATTTTAACAGAGGACGGAAAATGTGACACTGAAATCCGAAGGTACATTGAGAGAGACAAAGATGCTTTCCAAAAGAGAAGCAAAATATTAAGAAAGGTAAAAAATTTCGTTGGAACCAATGAAAAGACTGTTGAACTGTTAGATAATATTTGTCCTCCTATATGGCAGTGAATGATGGACAAATCTCCTGAAAGATGAAGCAACAGAAATATGGCTCTACAGAAGGATGCTGAGAAGACCATGGACCGAGCATGTGAGCAAAGAGGACGTTTTAGAGAAAATGGAAACAAAAAGGAAACGTATAAGTAACACCAGGAAAAGACAGTTGAAATTTCTATGGCAGATAAAGAGGAAAAAGAGTTTGAAAAACTTTGATACCCTCGGGGTATATTGAAGGCAAGAGGGACAGGGGAAAACAACGCATGACCTACCTAAAAGAGCACGAGGAAATGGATGGTGGAACAAGGTTTAGAAGAGATAACAAAAAGACTAAATTTATTAAGAGCTACAAAGGATAGAAAATTGTGAAGAGCCGTGATCGTCAAAGTCCTGAAGGAACAAAGTACATAAAAGAAGTGCAGGGTGGTAATGAAACTGAGTACAGGATAGGTTGCGCTAGGACACTTTACACCAACACCCTAATATGCTACAATACCAAAATATTAACCAGAAATGTTGAGCCATATTCGTAAACAGCCATGTCAGATCTCGGCTCTCATGCGGATGTCATGCATGGCATCCACTTTATTCAGAAATATCGAAACTGTCAGCTGTACACATGTTTTCTAAGAACAAAAGATTAAAAAATGGCTTCAAGTGAATAAACCCATTAGAAGACGTTGACTCTACAGAATTACAAAGAGCTTTACCAAATAACAAAAAAATGTATCATTTTAAATCACAAATAGATTGATTTGTTTTTTATGGTTTATCAACCTTTTTCAGGCTTTTTTAAAGCTAGAAAATATTTGGGTGGATTGTAAGAATTTTTGGAGATAATAATGATTTACTTCCTAATGGAAGAAGAAGAAGAAGAAGAAGAAGAAGAAGAAGAAGAAGAAGAAGAAGAAGACGGCCAATTTTTCTTAAAATTAAAAGTGTGCTATTTAGAACTTGATATTTCGATAAGGAGGTGTTGATGGGTGTACTAAATAATGATATGTTAAACATTTCGTTGGTGGCCGGATGGGTAAAGATCGAGTGGGAGAGATTCGTGTTTCGTTGCTGGCCCTGCTAACCTGATGACGTCATAGCTGAATACTGCAACTCTTTAACATTGCTTATCTGCGGATTGAAAAAAAATTAGCGAAGATGAGCGCGCCTTTTTTTTAAAATGGATTCTTTAACATAAGTGGCTGTTGTTGCTTTTAGAAGCAAGCGTTTTCTTCATTTTGTAGAACTTGTTTTCTTTGCTATTATCTATATATTTCTTTTTTGAAATTCCTTTATGACATGGGAGATGAATGAGGTCAATTTATCGAATAGTCAGGGAAGAGGTTACAAAGCGAACTGAGAAATAACTCAAAGGCATATTAATATTATTATTACAAGCTTATTTATTTAACCCGGAATATCACTGGTAGGATTTATGAAGCTGTATCCTCCTGACGTTAGTTTAGACTGACGCCTTCTTTTTTGTCCATCGACGATCAAGGCTCTCCATAACGTCTTTTCCTTTGTAGAGCTAAGCAATGTTTGTCGCTTTACTATCCATAACATACGTAGAAAACACAGACAAAGAACATAAAATCATGTAGATGTTTTCTTTTTTTTTTTTTTTTTTTCAGCTGATTCCTATCATTCTCCAAGAATGTTGATACTATTTTCGGAGAAACGTCGTGTTTTTGCTGGAAGAAGGAGAATATGGGTGGTGATAGAGGGTTTTCTATTTCAACTCTTTAATCTTCTGCAAGGTCTGTTTCAGTGCCACTTCCGGTCTTGCGTCGTCGTGGTGGAAAATGACACCTTTTCGAGTTGAAAAAACCTGCCGTTTTTTCTTGAACCCAAACCTATTGAAATGAAATCGTGCAAACGCTTTTAGAATATTAAAGCAAAATCTAGGTCGGCAGTGATCAGCCACAATTGCCAGTTTCATGAGTTTTCCAGCAATCGTAAGGCAATTTTGCTTCAATATATATATATATATATATATATATATATATTAATGGATGTTTCATTAAATAATATAATCATATTTTGTCAATGTATTTTAAGTAAGTTCCTTTTATATTGTCTGATAAGCTTAAAATTATCATTGAAAGACGAAAGGAAATCACCATATTGATACATGTTTAAATCCAATCTAAGCACTCTTTTAAAAATAGTATTTGTTGGTTATTGGAATTTATTCCGTCTTCACCAATCCTATATTTGGATATTAGATTTTATTATTGTTGAGCATTGTCTATTCTATTCTTATATCATTGATAGAATCAATTTCGGATTATCTTTAAAGAACATTCCCACCACAAACAAATGCGATTATTTCGTTCATTTAACTCTACAAACGGAAAATCTTATCAGAAGAATGAGATGCCCGATTAGAAAATTAAAAACAAAATTTTACATACCAAAAATAAATTTATTTATGTTAAGCACATAGACTCAATTATTTTTTAACAACTGTCTCCTATGATTCTCCAAGAATGCTGATACCATTTTCGTAGAAATTTCGTGTTTTTTTTTTGTTTTTTTTTTTTTGCTGGAAGAGGTTCAACGCTGTATTAAGGCCCGGAAACTACTCAAGGTAGACGGTTACAGAGTAAGGAGAACAGTTTATCCGAATAGTTTGGGAAGATAACAGTTAACCTTAGACATGAACAGGTTAGGATTGTAGTGATCGGGAGAACACCCCCTTGGGAGTCGGTTCTACAGAGTAGTGGTTTGCAGAAAGAATCTGCTTGAGTGGAACTTACTTCCCACCAATGAAATCCGGAAAGAAATGAGTTTTATTTCAAAGTAAACTTATTGTACTTATTCTAAAAAAAACGTGGAGTGTGCAATTGATACTTATTGAAATTAAATCATATTACATATTACCTTCCTTTTTGTCCTTATTTTATATGCCTTATCTATTCATAGACGATCATGGCTCTCCACAACTTCTTATCCTTTATAGATCTAAGCAATGTTTGTCGCTTTATTATCCATACCAGTCCCTATTATGTCACCCGTTTAACAGTGAAATAATAGTTTAGAAGAAGGCCGGAGCGTACAACAGCCGAAACGTTGTAATAAATATGGCGACAAAGATGAGGACAATAGTCGGAATAATGTAAATATTGTACATAATACCTCATCTTAGAAATATAGACAGATACTGAAAGGCCGAAACGTTGTAATAAATATGGCGACAAAGATGAGGACAATAGCCCGAATTATGTAAATAGTGTACATAATACTTCATCTCAGAAATATAGACATATTCTTTCCATTTTATTTTCAACCGTTCAGGTAAAGTCATGGCAATTCACAGATTAAAGACAAAAGAATCCGTACAGAGACATGACTGTTTATGTCCTGAAAAGACAAAGTATTTGAATAAATCGTCCCCTTTGGATCATCTACTTAGTCCAAGTAAAATCAAAATTTGGAATGTTGATTTTCACGTCAGACAATTTCTCCTTACTTAGGAAATTGGCGCAGCAAAATCTATCTGCTTACTATGAGGATTTATACCAGGCCTTATCTAGCTCTATGTTTATCTATATACCTGTGTATGTGTGTGTGTTATGCCTCTAAATGCTTACACACTTAAATATATTTATTCCCTGATTATCTCATTTAATCTTCTGAATGAGACTTGCATTAAAAGACAAAAACAAAACAAAGGTATTCTGCCTGACTTTCATTGGAATATGGAACCGGAAGTGTTATTTCTAACTCTCAGAACAATTCGCAGCTGCAACTGTTACCCAAGGCACCACACAGACCTTCAAATGACAACCAGATTTGTCTCAGCCAAGTAATTACTCTGAAATATATGCATCGTATACATAATAACGGAAGCGAAGACATACGCTTGTTGATGGCGACAGAAACGTATTCATTTCATCTTCAGTCGGTAATCATGCGCCCCCCACCACACACAAACAGCATTACATACTTCACATTCTGATATGTGGCAGAGCCCAAAATTGAACATATCTTGGAATTGCAGGCATCGGCCACCCGCCCCAGCCTCAATAGTTTGGCTCTTTTCGGCGCAAATCCCAATTGGTCTCTTTGTTTCGAATTTAAAGATGGAGTTTGTTCGCTGGGTATCTTTCGTTTCATTAACCAAATTCCTCTGTGTCGTTTTATTTGATTATTTTTCTAGAGAGAGAGAGAGTTTATGGTAGTTTTAACTGTCGTTAATATAACCATTTAAAGATAGATAGATAGATAGATAGATAGATAGATAGATAGATAGATAGATAGGGATTTATAGCTAAAGAGTGAAATAATTGTGGTAGAAAGAAAAAAAGAAAGATATGAATACACTGGTAACTAGAGAGACAAAAAGAGTAGTAGAAAATTATATATATATATATATATATATATATATATATATATATATATATATAATATATATATATATATATCCAATATATAAGAGTAGTAGAAAATGATGTGTGTGTATATATATATATATATATATATATATATATATATATATATATATATATATATATAATATATAAGAGTAGTAGAAAATGATGTGTGTGTGTATATATATATATATATATATATATATCGAGAGAGAGAGAGAGAGAGAGAGAGAGAGAGAGAGTCAGACAGACAGACAGACAGTCAGACAGAAAAATACAGATTAAAACCCATCAGAATTGCACTGGGCGTAAAATAAAGAATTTCTTCCTTAAGATTTAGAATCCAGAATTTTATCAAAGAATTTCCCAAGCTCAGCAGGTGATTACATGTCTTACAAAAAACGTTAAGTCACTTAGATTCGGTAGTTAAAGAAAATGTTTAAAGTAAAGATTAAAGGGGGGAAATTAGAAGAAGGAAAGGAGATTGAAAAAAAAAAAGAAGAAAAACAAAGGAACAGAGGAAAGCAAAAAGAAAGAAAACGTAACAGTAGAATAATAAATAGAAAGCTTATCTGGAAGACTATTATATAAGCTACTGATTCTTAGCGGCTCGGATTGAGGAATTGGAGAGCCGAATTCGAATTCCAGTCGAATCCATTATATTCACTTACATGCTAATACCCTTGGAAAAGGTACGAATCCTCTTCTCCCCGCAGCTATGCGTAAATAAGAGAACAAACAGAGTCCTATAGCCTTGGATGTTGCTTGTAGGTTGTCATTTCTTTCTGCGGTCTAAAGAAATGGCAACCTACTGCGGGAAAAATATCTGCCTCGTCAGTAATGTATCGAAGGAGACATGATCGTCTAAGCGTGTATCACGCATGGTACATAACCGACTGATTCTGAACCGCCGTGCTGCAGCACACTTGTGTGCCGCGCGATCCTCTTAAGTGTGCCGCGAAGTATTGTCACAGCATACATATATATATATATGTGTGTGTGTGTGTGTGTGTGTGTGTAGTAATGGTATAGTGTTTGTATTTGAATAAATGAATAAGTATTAAACTTTTTTCAAATAATTCTTTTCACTATTCTTCGATTATGTCATTTTAAATACTTTATTCTAATATCCATTTAATATTCAAAATAAGTTCATATTTTTACGTGTATTATTAAATAATCTATGGTTTTATTTCATAATATTTAAATATATACCCTTTAAATATTTTGTGTCGTGATATTTTCATTTGTTCGTAGGTGTGTGTGTGCAGAGTGCTTAAGTGACGGTGGCAATCTGTCCACGTTTCAGGCTTCCCACTAGCCGTGTTCATATTTGTTCACACGCGTGCCACGTCTTGCATGTGGCCGGGTTAGTACATTACATGAATGGGTTACCGGTGTTTTTTCTTACGGACTTCCCTCCGCATGATACGGCCTCCTGTCCTACTCTGCATGCTTCCCCCACACTCATGGGACCACAAGGCGTTTGGGTTTTGGTCGATTGCAAGGACGTCCTTGAGTACACGTGCGTCGTACCCCGTGTCTGTGGGGATAGAGTTCAAAGTGGTCATGATGTTCTCGTACTGCGACGTGGGCCCTGGTTTGGAGGTGCTTGATTTGTTTGGTGTTGGCTTTCATTGTCAAGGGAAAAAACGAACTTTGGGCACTACCTCTTATTGCGGGAACGTTTGTCCATGTTTACCGAATTATATTTATCTCTGACACAATCTTTATATGACCTTTAACCCAGATATTGATTTTCAAACGTGTAATCAATAGTTGGTAGCTTTTCTGATTCCGACAGTTCACAAATTTGCAGATGTTACAGAATGAGTAGGCGAGACAGAAATGGCGAAATTATATTTGTAGTGAATGTAATTCCAGACGCAAGCGAACTGATCAGAACTTTGACGACCCCGAACTGAGTTGGGGTGACTTGAATCTAGTGGTTATATTTGTCTAAATGTTGATGTTCTGACCGAAACACGCGCTTAAACGAGCAGTTCGCTTGCGGCCATTGAGTGGTCAAAAGATCTGATATTGTTCGAGCTTTCCTCTGCTAGATTCCTTTGCGAGTCGTAGTTTCAGCAAGGAGAGGATGAGTAGCTACTTAATGTGTTGATAACTATTCCTCTATTTGGCTCTCGCTTCCTCCAAGAAACGAATCTTACTATACCCTTCATTATAAAACAAAGCATTTAAAAAGAAACCTGAAAAAAAATTGTGTAGAGGCAACTTTGGAGTTTCTCAGTTGTTATTAACCTTTTTTAAGTCACGGATCCCTATAAAAACTACCCCCCCTCAGAGACAGACAGACTGACAAGCAGATACTTAGTCTGGTTGTACAGCGAATGTAAATGTTAATTTTTATCTGTTTCGCACGGATCGCCTGAAACCCATCCATAAATCCCATGTTAAGAAGCCCTGCTCTAACTGAAGTATCGCTGAGTGACCAATCAAATGTAGAAATGTCATGCAAAGCAATACAGATCATCTAATTCGATGTGTATCGTTAGATTTTGGATATCTTTGAATCAACACTCGTTTAGCGTTCAACAACGTTTTTATCTATTACCAGCATATATTCGTATAAGAAATGCACGCTGACATTTATAGCATTCATTTCTGATCATACGATACCATACGGCCACGGCGGTCGATGGAACTTTTCCTGTCACCCGACTCGTGTTCCTGAGACAATTTGACTTACCATTGATGCACGATTAATTTCGTCTTTTTGGATTTATGGGATGAGGACTTAATATATACCGAAGTAGCGTTTATTTTACTTTTAAATTATTTTCTTTCTGGGGAGCTCTTTTAAATGAATTGAGAGGATCATATAGATCGATAAAATCATTTTTTTTAAAAAGGACTTTTTTTAAATTTTTACTAATAGTAATAATAAACAGAAGCCTTCGTCTAGTAAATAAATTTTGTCCCGTTTCTTAACAATTCTAGAAATATAAAATTGAGAAAATGACCGCTTGAAAAAAAAATAAATAAAAATGTTTAAAGATTTTTAACACCTGAAAATCTTTCCGAAAACTGAAATATGTTTAAAAAAATCCCGTTTTTTTTTTGTTTTGTTTTGTTTTTTCATCAGAGATGCGTCAGTGATTAATCTTTGTGGAAATGTAAATTTTTACTCAGGTACGAGGTGAAGAGTTTGCCATGTTTGTTACAACAAAATTTTTTTTTTTTTTCACAGTTAATAATAATAATTATCATAATATATTATATTATTATAATAATAATAATATCTATTGAATCCATCTTTATTGTTATTTTCACAATGCTTCCCCTGTTTTGTTCTTCGTTCTTCCTCAGGTGCTTGTCGATTCGAATAACCTTCAGAGAACTTCGAAATAAACCCTTTATGGGGATCGATTATCCTATCGGGGCGTGAACCAAAATAGATTAACTAAAGCGTTCAGTTTGCAATTCCCTCAAAGTTACCGGGATTAACAAGCACTTAATGAAGGCCGGAAAACACAACAGCCGAAACGTTGTGATAACCCTAACAAAGACGTGGACAATAAACCACCCGTAAATAATATGACTAATTTCTTGAAGTTAATTTCAAGTTACCAAAATTCTTTAATTATTAGAAAAGCAAATGCCTCCAAGACCCAGAATTTGACACTTTCTATAACTGAACATAGAATTAGTTGAATATTATAAAAAGAAAAGATCTTTATTTTTAGATTGACCGACATACATTTTATCTGAGAAATCATTAATCATATCAACTGGGCGAATTTTAGCCAACAGGATCTAGCAAATACAGTCTACTGCATTTTCTCGTTCTTGTATTTCATGTTTGGTTTAATCTCTAAATTGAACCAGCATTTAATTCTCACTAATTCCGTTTTCACTATTCACTCATGGCTTCTAATTAAATTTTTTAATTAGTTCTTTATTTCACCGATCAAACCCCCTTTCAAGAATTTTTTTCCTTATTTGCTTTCTCATTTGAATTGTACATCACCACTAAAGAGTATTTCATACACAAGGGACCACGCCTGATCGCATTCATTTTTCTCTTAATATTTTTTTTGAACAGGTGTAGATGTTTATTCCTGGTTTCCAGTTCTTTCTAAAGTCTACTTTATCTCTATACTTCTGAAATTTAACTATTTTTTTCCCTCCTCGATAGTAGAAGATCCGTTGTTCTGTTTAGGATTGGGTTTCCGATCCGTTTCAAAGTTTTTTCGTTATCTTTCACCCCTCCCCTCCTTGTATGCTTAGTGGCATTATCGATTTGCTTGGGGTGAACTGATTTTTTTTAAGGGAAAAAAAAAAAGGAAGATAAATTATCACTTCAATGAAATTTGAACTTTTTTGTCAAAATCAGCCAGGTCAGTCGGCTGATGGTGGTGGTGGGGGGAGTATGCAAATAAAGCCAATCAAGGGTTTCGTGCGAAAACAAGCTCGACATTTTCGGTTGCTTTCTTTTATCAATTTCTTGCTTTATATTTTGTATATTAATGTTCTTTATTAGAGGAATGGAATTATGTTAGTTGGCATTTGAAGTCAGATTTGGTAACTGACCTCTGGAGGTCAACTTCTTACAGACCTATGAAATATTTTTAAGGGTTTGGTCCACTTAAACTGAGTTGTCTTTATTCTTGATATTTATTTAAACCTCAGATTTTAATGAAAGAAACAAGACGTTAAATTTCTTTATTAGCAAAACGAGACGCACAATTATCCTTGCTAATTGACTTTTGACGAAACAATCAGCTACTAAAGCTTTCCTAAAAATAGATTCTATTAAGAATGAAACAAACTTCACCAATTTGCATCTCTCCTTTATGTAGTTTCCGTTTTCCTTGCACAAAAATTCAAATGTCCATGAACAATGTAGAGAGATTCCATGTCGTCGCGAAAAATACATGGAAAACGAGAAGCCGTAAAATTTCATTATCACAGTTGAAAGAATTTCGTATCACTCAATCTTTTCATTTTTGTTCATCTCTGTTCATGGTAATGTCTCATTCCATTTCGAATGTAATGGGGGAAAAAAACGTTTCCAAAACTCTTAATACACAAAAGAATGACTTGCTTTTAAAATCTGTTGCTCAAAGATAAGATCTTTCTGAAAAGCTCAACACGATTCTGAAATCTGTTCACGCCCGAGAACAGTGGGGTTTTGGAAATCTTCCACATGTAACCCATACATTTGAATATGACACCAAAATCCAAAGGCAAGAAATTCCGACCAAAGGATAAGTATTCAGAAGGAAAACAAAAATTGTTAGAAACTAAAGAGGAGGATTAAACAGGCGTGTATTATCAGTCATCCCATATGAGTAAATAAGGGTAGGGCCAGCGCATCTTACCTCCACACCGACCCTGGGGAGAACCCTGTTATGGCCTCTTTCAGCAGTTTTATGGTCATCTGCCATTTTTTTAAAATTATTTTTTAAACTAAAGTTGCAATGTCAGTCATCAACTAGTAATATATATATCGTGTATCTGCATGACTGGTGTGGTTAAGTACTACGCAAGCCCCGACCAGATTGAACCCCTCAAAAAGGCTAGTTCCAACAGCGTCCCGTCCCCTAAGTTATATTGTCACTCGTCAACTATAATTGACAAAGCCGGTGCTTAGTACCCTGAACCTCTCAAACATCTTCGAGCCCTATGCTTACTTGGGAAGAAGCAGAAGTGCTACCGAAGTAGCGTTTATTTTACTTTTAAATTATTTTCTTTCTGGGGGAGTTCGATAAAATCTTTTTTTTTTTTTTTTTTTTAAATGACTTATTTTATTTTTACTAATAGTAATAATAAACAGAAGCCTTCGTCTAGTAAATAAATTTTGTCCCTTTTAACATTTCTAGAAATATAAAATTGAAAAAAATGACCGCTTGAAGAAAAGAAAGAAAAAATAAGTAAAAATGTTTAAAGATTTTTAACACCTGAAAATCTTTCCGAAAACTGAAATATTCTTTAAATCCCGTTTCTGTTGGAATCTTCAGATGCGTCAGCGATTAATCTTTGTGGAAATTTTTACTCCGGTGCTGGGTGAAGAGTTTGCCATATTTATTAAAAAAAAAAAAATTTTTTTCAGAGTTAATAATAATAATAATAATATATTATTATTATAATTTATCTGATCACTATTGAAAGAATTTTGTACCACTCGATCTTTTCATTTATTATATATAATTATTATAAGTAAATAATTAAATAGGTACTGAAATTTTCATTTAAGTTGGTTAATTCCCTGATTTTTGGTAAACAACCCTCTGGAACCCCTCAATTTTCCTAGGGTCTAAGCCACCAGGTTGGAACTTTGAAATCAAAATGTGGAAAGACCTTGAATACTGGTCAATGTCATCAGATGAAGAAGGTTGGTTGGTTTTCTATGGCTTAACATTCTGAAGGCTAATTAAAACCAGAAAATATATTGATAGTCTTACGAATTAACCTAGTTTTGGAAAGCTAATTAAATTAATTCTGTGCCATTATCCATTGCACCACATCCAAGCTTAAAGCATCTGATATTACAAAGTGGTCATCCACCTATGTACTGAACAGGTTTGACACAGGGACTTGAGGTAATAGAAATGTGGTCCTACAGAAGTATGCTGAGAATACCATGAACTGAACATGTGAGCAATGAGATAACTAAAAATGGAAATTGACAGAATATTCCCAAGAGGGAATCAGTACATAATCTAACAAGCTTGAGTAAATAAATGACTGGCAGAAGAGGCATTACAAAATGTCGCAAGACAAACTTTACTAAGAGTTACAACAGAAATTTGGGGAGACATGTTCAGCCACGACCTGAAAGGACTGCCAATTAGAAAACACTATGACACGTTTGATGAAAACAGTTGTCTTTTATTGAAAAAGACATAACTCTCCCAATCTAAGCTTTTTAGACAAGAATTCTGCCTCTAAAAAGAGAGATTACAGAGAATGTTCAATCCTCTTTGGGAAAACTGAAACAAATTTTTTGTGGAAAGCTAAATTACAAGTCTGCCAACACAAAAGGATTTATACAAGGGTTTGAAAACAAATGTTTGGGAAAGTCTCCCGTATTTTGGTAGAACACGGAACAAGACTGCAAGGTTATCACTTGTTGGAAATATTGACTCTGTAAACACAATCTGCCATAGACAAAATATGACATCCTATCACCAAGATTAGAGAAAAGATTTTTTTTTTTTTTGTGTTCCCAGTAAAAGACAGCATCATAGAGATTTTTTTTTTTTGACAATATTAAAAATAAAGTTCATTTACTTAATGAAACTACAGCAACTCATAATACCTTTTATATTTCTGCAGACACTGGATTTTGGTGTTGGCACTGGTTTCTCATCTTGTCTTTATTATTATACATATAAAACCCTTTTTTCCTCACCTTTTAATAATGCACTGTAAAAATGAAAATGTGGGCATCCCTGGTTAAATGACCACTGCAGATATTTAAACATTTTGTTGGATTCTTAAATAAAAGCCTCATTAGGAAACTAAATTACATTTTAGCAAGAGAAAAAACAAGAATCACATGATATACATCCCTGTTAAAAAAAAAAAAAAAAAAAAAAAAAAAAATAGCAACTCACCCCAGAAATTCAGAGAGGGAATTGTATCTTGTTCCCAGAGTATTGGGTTATTAAGTCATGAAGAATTGAATCTACCTCCAACTACATCTCTCATCCCATCTCTATATCACAATGGTCTGCTTCTCCAACAGAAGTGATAATTCTAGTTTGCTGACTTATATACACCCACAATTGAACACCACACCTTTCAGTAGTGGCACTTAATATTGAAAAGTTTTCATTTCCCTTCTTCCTACTTGTGGCCATCATAAAACAACACACAGATAAGCTCACTTGATTTGGTGTCCTAAGTTGAACCCAGTCATGATTTTAAAAGATGACTTATTTTGACCAGTACTTGCATTGCTTAATTTTTTCACATGTTGCTTCATATTTTTGTTAGATTCTAATAGTAACTAGTAGATTTTGTTTAGCAGCATATCAACCTTTATGGATTATTTAATGCAGAAATCAAAATATTTTCAACACAATTTTATGCCTTCATCTACAGATAAAATGTATTGCTTGTATTTTTATGCTTTCATAATATTTTTTGGAGGGGAGGGTGGTCAATATTGCCTATAGTAGAGACCCTCACAGGTGCTACCATCCCAGGTTAGTGTAAGCACCCGAAAACCTCCAAGAATAGAAAAGTACTTAGATACACTAGTTATTTCAATAGCATCAAGTTAACTTTACCCGATTCCAATTCTCAACTTTGGTCATTATTACATGCTTGAAATGAGTTTAGTTGTAATAAAAATAAAATCAGTTTGCCAATTCGTCTGAGCCTGGTCATAAGCTACAGGCTTAAAAAAAAAAAAAAAAAATAAATTTGCTGCATTATTTTGTTTCTTTTTAGCTTCTTGAACCACACATCAGCAGCAGAGTTACTGAAAGTTGAACTCCAAAAAGACTATTATGAAGAATTGGTTGACAGTGTATGTCAAAAGAATGCAGTAGAACGCGAAGTAACATTAATAATGCAGTATGATAAAGGTAAATAAGAATTTAAAAAAAAAAAAAAAAAAAAAAAAAAAAGAGCCTTACCCACTTTTAATAGGAAAAGTAATGAAAACGGCCATATTTTCCTTGACAAAAGCAAGGCTGTAATTTCAGAAATATTTAAAGTTTTGTATAAATTTCATCTCTATATTTTCATACTATTTACATTATTGTCCAAATCTTTGTTGTTATCCGGTTTCAGCCATCGTGTCATCTGGTGTTCATGAAAGCACAATGGCCAAAATGTGGTAAAGACAACAAAGAGTTTAAATAATAACACCTCATCCCAGAAATTAAATAATAAATAAGGAATAAATCTTCATATCTACAAAAATAAACTTACTGCAAATAATTTCTAATTCCTTTATGACAAGTTTCAACAACAGTAGCCAAATTTTCAAGAAACATTAATATTGTTACAAAAGTGAAATAAAACATTTAAAGAATAACCATCATTGATTTGATTTTTTTTTTTTAAGTTTTTTTTTTGTTTTTATTTTATTTTACATTTTCCCCACTATGAAAGTGACTCATTCCCAAAATGAGATGTCCAGTCTACTTTGTAGCTGGTTTCTTTGCAGCTGGTGCGGCAGCCTTGGCAGGAGCAGCAGCCTTGGCAGGAGCAGCAGCCTTTTTAGCTGCAGGTTCTGCCTTCTTGGCTGCAGGTTCTGCCTTCTTGGCAGGAGCAGCAGCAGCCTTCTTGGTTGCAGGCTCTGCCTTCTTGGCAGCAGAATCAGCCTTCTTGGCTACAGCTTCTGGCTTCTTAGCAGCAGCTTCTACTTTCTTCCCTGCAGTGGCAGTCTTCTTTCCAGTGACATCAGGCTTCTTTGCTGTAGTATCAGCCTTTTTGGCTGCAGGGTCAGGCTTCTTTCCTGTGGCAGCAGCCTTCTTACCTGTGGCATCAACCTTCTTTTCTGCAACTTTAGGCTTCTTAGCTGCAGCATCAGCCTTCTTTCCAGTGACGTCAGACTTCTTTCCTGTAGTGCCAGACTTCTTCCCTGTAGTGCCAGATTTCTTCCCTGTAGTGCCAGATTTCTTTCCTTTCTTGCCTGCAGGCTTAGACTTCTTGTCCTTAGTGCTAAGCTTCCAACCCGTGGCCTCAGCCTTTTTGGTTGCAATTTTAGCAATTTTGGCTGCAATTTCAGCCCTGTTTACTGCAACTGCAATCTTCCTTCTTGCTTTCTTAATTTCAATTTTACTCAGCTTAGTTGTAAATCGTGACTTCTTTGAACCACGCTGAACTTTTTTCTTAATGTCTCCAGGCTTTGTTTCACCTTTCTTACCTACAATTTGTTTCTTTACTTCAGGCTTTTTAGTATCGGATTTTTTAGTATCGGATTTTTTAGCATCAGGCTTTTTAATAACGGGCTTTTTAGTATCAGGCTTTTTAGTATCAGGCTTTGGAGTTGGGGTCTTTGAAATGGCAGCTTTCTTTGCTGGGGGTGCAGATTTCTTTACATCAGTGGCAGGTCTTTTGATAGCTTTGGCACCGACTGCCTTAGGGGGGATAGGCGTTTTACCAGGAGCCTTGCCTTTGGCTTTGCGTTTGGCAGATTTAAAAGGTGGAACAACAGTGGTTTTGGTAATAAACTCCAATTTCTGTTTGGCCAGAACGGCTGCTCGTTGAGCCAGCTGAGCCTGCTTCACCAAACGTTTGATTCCTTTTGGGACAACTTTGTTGTGTTTTTTAGCAAACCGCAAGTTACGCAGATATTTACGGTCAACCTGAATAATAAAAAAAAAAAATAAAAAAATAAAAATAATAAAGCACTGTAATCACACGCACACACAAAATATATATGGAAAACTATTCTTCCTATTATACAGTGTGTGGCAGAAAGGTTGCCATGGTTTCAAAGGTTTATAATAATAATTAAAAAAAAAAAAAAAAAAAAAAACTTTTTTGTAAAGAAATTTTAGCCTCATTATGCTGAGAAGAAAAAGTATAAACGCAAAATATCTTTCTAAGAAGAAAAAAAAAAAGTGTTTAGTAGTTGCAATTAATAAAAACGATAGAAAGTTTAAATTAAGAGAAAGATATCAAAATATATATTTAAACAAGATTCACAAATCTTATACAATCCACACAAAGAATATTAATTTTAGCTATGAAAATTAGATCTATCCAATGGAGAATTAAGCAAGGTTCATGTCCCTGGGGTTTACGGCACACCAATATCAATAAGTAACATTGATGCTTCCTGTCCAGGTTTTTATGTCATCTCCAAAATTATAACTGGCAGATATGTAGCCATTATTGTAAGCTACATTCCGTGGCTGGAGATATGACTGAAGTAATCACAGTTAAAACAGCAATTATTTGAAGACCTACAGTTTATTCAAAGAACGAGAAAAATGACATCAATGAGATAAAAATTCAATTTACTTACACCTGTCATAGGGGGAAACCTATGTTTCTTGGGTCTGTAGATACCATTGCGATGTGCTTTGCGGTCTGTAAAATAGAACAGCGGATGAGAAAATGCTTCACCAATAAAAGACAATTATGAGAAAATATTTAACTGATAAAGTTTCTCTATCAAGTAAACCTAAAACTTAACTGGCAAATAAGTAGCTATCATGTTTCAAGCGTACATCTCATATCAGGAGATATATTAAAATACAAATTCATAAAAATTAGCCCCTATTTGTGGCAATCTTGAGCCAAAAATACATGTAAAATAAAAGTCAATTTCAAGTATATGTATTCCTAATACAAATTTTGGAAAAAAAAAAAAAAAAAAAAAAAAACAAGCATAAATGGTAAATAGGCTATTAGAGCTTGCAAAGTCAAATAGTGTGAATCCAAAAAGATTTGAAAGGGATTATGAGAGAGAGAGAGAGAGAGAGAGAGAGAAAAAAAATGAATCCTAGGGCATGAGAGGTTAATATAGTAATCCATCAAATTCAAGTTCCCATATTTAAATACCAGTGTGGGAAGAGAAACAAGTTAAAATTCCAGCCTAACCTCTTTGCATTCACTTTCAGACAAATGTTTGCGGCGCGGGGCTACAGAAAACAATCTCTTTGCACAGCCGTAGGGCAGACCTTGGGGTCTCCCCTATCAGAAGGCAACCAGCCTAGGAGACACACTGAATTCCAAGCCTGGATAAAGCAACAGAAAACCTATCCTTCATATTATATATATATATATATATATATATATATATATATATATATATATATATATATATATATAGCAAAACTTGGAACCATGGTAACTGTACCATAAAACGACGAGATTATGGTAATGGGGTGGGGGAAAAAAAAAAAAAAAACTACATTCCATCTTGTGCGTGTGTCTCTTCAGAGAGAGCACAACTGAAAATACAGCTGCCCAGAAGTACCTCCCCAATGCACTGGGGTGTGGGGGTCTCAAAGGTAATACTGCTGCCATGGGCATCCAAACTGACCTTGTGTCACAGCACCAATTTTGTGGGAGGGATATATCACGCACACAAGAAAAGAAAAAAGATTTTTTTTACTCTCAGCAAAAATTCAAGGAATATCTCATCACAAAGCAGAGAGAGAGAGAGAGAGAGAGAGAGAGAAAAAAAAAAAAAAAAAAAAGAGCTAGTTGATTTAATAAAGTTCCTTCTTTAAGGGATGAATAAATAAATAAAAAGTTTCTGATTAAAGAGGGATTTTTTTTTTTTTATCACAACCCAAAAGATAAAATGCAAAATTTTCATCAGTTCTTGTATAGGAGAAAGCAAATATTTTGGCACCGAATAGTTCTTAATTATAAATAAGCACCTCCAGAGATTCAAATTATTGGTGCTGAGGATAAACTAATGTTTATCTTATCTCAGGACGTGCTTTATGAATACATTTTCAATTATGGAACATTTTGCAATAATAAAATTTAAAATTGCTTTGAGTAACCTTGAAACCAACACATATCATTCATCTATAATAGTAAATCACAAAATGAAGGTTTCAAATGTTGATATATAAAAGAAAAATTTACTTACTCTGGTTATGATTGGTATGATTCTTTGACTTTGCCATCCTAGATTTGACTTTTGCTCTCTAGCCTACAAGAAAATTTATTTTAAATTAAATAAATCCCATAAAAGGAACGAAAAGGAAGACAGATTTGTTTTTTCTAATACACAAGTATAAATCATAGTTGATACAAGTAGCATAACATTTTTGCAGCAAAATACAACAAAAAGTATAAAAGGGAATTTTTAGTGAAATCTATTTTCAAAATTATTACAATCAAATACTTCTGAGACAACAAAGTTTTATAAATGCAAATAGTTAACACAAAGTCTAAAATTCATTTAGAAAAAAAAAAAAAAATCACATAGGCACATACATAGAGAGGGGCTATTTTTCTGACATGCTGCATGATATCTGGAAAAATTTGGGTGGTGGGGACATAACTGAAAAGGATTTCTTGAATACAGGTGTTTTTTTGTGGTAACTACTACAACTATAATCTTAAAGTATTTTAAGCAATCTAATATTTACTTAAGTTTTGGGTACATTGTTTTTATAGCAATACTTACAAAGAGACATGCTGAAAATGTTAGAAAAATAACAATTTTAAGTTTAATTTTAAATTTATATGTACATATTTTCTGATAATGTTGTATATAGATATCTGCACTGAAAAAATACAAAAAAAATTTTTTCTAAATTCTTTTTAAAATACTGTGTGGTCTTTGAATTATTAGCTTTTCCATTTCTGATTAGTAAATGGAGTTTTAATTTAATATCATTTGGCCACTACAAATTAATACAGAATTTTATATATATATATATATATATATATATATATATATATATATATATATAATGCTTGTAAAAATTCATTATTCATTGACATATTATGCCTTTGTAAGTATTGCTATAAAAACAAAGTACCTAAAACTTAATATATATTTTACACAGAAAAGTATGGACAAGCTAAAAAGCTCCATTTTATCACATTTTTCATTTTAGTACTTAGATTTTCCTGTTTGACTAAAAGATTTTTGAGGATCTAAGTTCTCCAAGGACTTGTCCTCCCTTATAAAACATTAAATGATTTAAGGAAAAAAAAAAAAAAAAATTAATGCACCTGATAAATACAATGACAAAATTGTTACTTGAAACTTAAATAAACATTGAGGATGGATGGGGAAATAACTTCTTTAAACTATCAAGTCAATTTTACAGTGAGGGAATAGAAATTCCATTTGACACAAATTGCCAGAATTCAATAAGATTTTCTACGAGGAGGAAAAAAAAAAAAAAAAAAAAAAAAAAAAAAATGTCATTAAATAAAATGTAGGCACATGATAGAATTGTAAATTACACACACACAAAAACATTTGAAATAGAAAAAGTTCTTAAAAATAATAAAAAAAATATACTCATAAAAAATTTCTGGAAGTAAATAAAAAAAAAAAAAAAAGTCTTACTTAGCTCACGTGCCACAAAATCAAAACGAGCCAATTTCAATCCATAGTGTTTAATAAGCCATAGCACGTTGAATACAATGAGTTGATGCTTATCTCCCTCTCACCTCTTGCATTCACTACTACACACCCAAATAGGGTTTGGTCTTAAACCTGACCACCCCTTCAAAATAGATTTGGAACAGCTGTAAAGTATTTCCATAGTTAGGGAGGAAGGGGGAGGGATAGCTATACACAGGCACTTGTGTTTGAAGATAAAACAATAAACCACTTCTTGTGGCAGCAGTTGGAGCTTAGTTCCATTCATCTCAATGTGTTATTGCAAGGAAAAGAAAAAAAAAATCATTTCAAAGAGACAAATGGCATCCAAGTTCCTTAACATCTTTATAACATATATATTTTTTTAAAACTATCTCTGAAAAACACACATACAAGCTGACTTACTCTGTGACCAGATCTTTGGTTATTAGAATTAGAAATTCTAAAGGTTTACTACTATAAAGATTGACTCTTTAACTTTGACAGATTAAGAGTTAACAATGTATTATATTCTACATTTCAACAGTTAAAAATTATTGGAGATTTTAATAAGAAAAAATTATTTGTAAGCCATAATCAAACATGCTAGAATCTTTATTCAAAATGAGAGGAGTCACTGCTAGCAGGAGTGAAGAGAGTGTACCAATCAACAATCAGTCTACATTAAATCTTCCTATAAAAGAAGGAAGTATGACAAACACAACTGCAGATACAAATAACCCAACTTTCTTCATTTATCTATCAATTACTGCGATCTCTATGATAATAGTCACTGGTGTCACAGGTAAGACAACTATTTTTACATATTGATAGCTATCATTTAGAATATTCAAAAATGTTTTAAATGGTAATTTTTATTATTAATATATTAATTGTTGCTTGATGTATTAACTGCATGAAAGTGCTGGAAAGTTCTTGGCCCAACACACTTCCCCAAAATCTGACCACAGAATTTTTTCTTCATATTTTAAATGTATTCTTGGTCAGGCTGAGAGCTTTGTCACCTAATCACTTGTAGGTGAAAATAAAAATGATTTAAGCTTGAGGGAAGTATGGTTTACATTTTAATATAACCGACAACTTTTCAGTTGCCAACTGTATTTATTTTTTTTTTTTTTTTTTTTAAAATGGAAAGATGTTAAAAATAATTTTTAGGATGGCTTTACACAAATTTATTCCAGCTATAATTCAAGTTCTATCTAAGGCTGCAATGCATTTATGTAGGTGAAAATAAAAATGATTTAAGCAATGCATGTTGAAACTTTCAGTTGCCAACTGTATTTATTTTTTTTTTTTTTTTTAAAATGGAAAGATGTTAAAAATAATTTTAGGATGGCTTTATTTATTCCAGGGCCCTTGGAAAGTACAAATTTTCAGTTGCAACTTATGCCTGTCCTATCTAAGGCTGCAATGCATTCTAAATAGCTATTTTAAAAAATGTTTTTTAAAATGTCAATGGTATGTCACAAGGGCTGACATAAAAAAAATATTAACAGATAAACAATTTATAAACTGGACCACATCTGTAACAGATTAAAAAAAAAAAATTACTAATCAAAATTAATAATACAAGAGGGTACTTGAAACAGGTGTCCAATCAACTCCTCCCAAAATCTAGTATATGGAATAAACATCAGGATTTTTTTTAAAATCCTTTCCCGGTTATGCTATGAACTTTTTATCCTCTCCTTGTACTAATAAGGTTTCATCTAAGAAAAAACAAATCTTATATAATTAAAAAAGGAAACAGGTACTATCTGAATTGGTATCCGACTCAAATGCCAAATTTACCTAAATGTCTGCGAGGTGTACATGTTTAATTAGAAATCATTTTCAAAATATTTTGACAGGTTCACTCAGCAGTAAAATCATTGTTATATGAATCCTCCAGGAGGAATAAACACTTAAGTGTATCCTTAAAACCTGTCTATACATGTTGATTGGTAACACTTTGAAAACTTTTAGCCTCTAGTCAAAGAATTAGGTAGCAATACAAAGGTAAATGTATTGGTTAGTTGGGAGCATTTTTGGTTGAAGTTCATTAATGGGTCATGGGGCAAATGCTTTTATCCTATCAAAGAAGAAAAAAAAATTAATACATCTAAAAATAATTATTTCTTCATTTTAATTTAGTACAAGAAAGCAAAAGAAACTTCTAAAAGATGCCCTAATTACATTGATAGCAGTTTAATTAGAAATTAAAGAAAGCCAGAAAAAGAAGAGTATATAAAACATGTAAGATTTTCATATACACAATTATGCATTTGTTTATAACTAATTTTTTGATAGGAAAAACAAAAATTCTTTTTAACCATCCATCTTTCAGAAATAAGTCTACAATGAAAGACATTTATTAAAGTTTCTGTATATGACACAGATTGTTAAGGTCCCAAACTAACATTAAAAAGAAAAAAAAAAAAAAAAGAAAGTGCAGCAGCAATTTTAAGTTTTTTTATCTCCACCTAGCAAGGAGAGAATTGGATTTATGTGAAGGCTGCATAGACTAAAATTCAGCATTATAATATAGACACATTAAAGACAAAAGCAGTTCTCAGCAATTCTTTCACTTTTTAGATTCAATGCATTCATATATGGACATTAAATATATTTTTTCCCCTTTCTTGTAGGAAACCTCCTTGTGTTTTTGGCAGTAAAGACTTCAAAGAAATTACAGACTATATCTAATGTGTTTATAGTTAACCTCAGTACAGTGAACCTGCTATTTGTAGTAGGTGTTTTACCATTCCACATTTATACCAATCTTCATCAACAGTCTGGACTAAACCCATCTGTGTGCAAAATCATTGGACTGGCTGATTATACACTTACAGGTATGTAGGAAAACCTATTCCATTCATTATTTTACAGGTTTTAAAGCAAAAGAATAAGTTTGTTTTTTTTTTTTTGCCAGACTTCTTCAAGCATCTGTCAATCCAGGTAAATATTTAGGAAAATTTGAACTGGACACTTTCAGTTCCAGCACTTTTGTACCAGTTCAGCCTCCTTTTAATAGAACCATTGTTTTAATTTCATTATCCAGATTAATTTTAATCACCATTTGTAAAAATCTGCACAGGTAGAGCACTGAACAATGCTATTCATTATATGATTACGTCTTAGAACATCGATAAGTGTTGATGCTGGTATATTAGATATAATCATTTTCATAAGTAACAACGTGAGAATCAATCGCTAAAAAATTTACAAGTGGCACAGAGTTAATATAATGCTCTTAGGTTAAATGGTCATAGTATTAACTGCTAGAATAAGCAACAGATGCAGCTAATGCACTACTTGCAAAAATCTAGGTGCACATTACAGCATCCTCATTTTTAAGCTATGTTTACTACTGGCAGAGAAAGAGACATCTGAAAATTGTGCTCTAGATCCTAATAAACATTAAAAAACTTCTAATGGAGATAGAGCACCCAAAAACTGGAACAGGTCCAAATTATAAAGTTTAACTTCTATAATTTCAGAGTAGATACAGATTATTAACCAATTAAGATCCTTAGTAGATCTTAAATACCATGGACGAATACAAACATAAGACAACGGCAC